CACGTGAGCAGACAGTTAGTCGGACAAACTCCCGACAACAGTCCGGATAACTCCACTCAGCTAGCCACCAAAACTAGTAGATACACTTCATACATTACATACAAAGAGAGAACTAAAGAGGTAGTGGTGCGATCCATGGATCTGACACAGATGAGCCCATCGCCCCATCCAATAACGATTAGTGGCGGACCCCACAACGGTCACCATCATCATCAACAGTAGTAGATCAGCCATTTGAACTGATGCTTCGCTGCCATACAACCATAAGGAACTATGAAATAAAGAATAATAAGAGGGATAGAAGGAAGGATTAGCTGAACCTTAATGCCATAAGAAAACATTCAAGGTCAAGGCGCCTACACATTGTGTAGACAACATACCGTCACAAACAGCTGGCTGTCGTACAAAGATAAGGCGGCATCGGCGAGACAGCTTCCTTGCGGCTTTCACTGCCACGCGTCATAATCAGCCATTACCCCGCAGATAACTCAGCACTAAACATACTTTAAACAGGCAATCCGATTAGGAGACGGCAGCAAACGCGCCACTGGTGTCTACTGCGAGCCATGTCCTGTAACATCTCAAGCCAAACACAAGGCGAGTCACGTGGACTCCAGTCCGGAAGGCGAGACGGACCAACGGCACCCAGTTTGGTCGTCAGTGCCTTCATTTCCCGCTGCCAAGTCAACTTCTGTTCACCTCGAGACTGGCGCCACCATAACCCTGGCAGAATAAACAAGGCCCTCCTAGGTAAGCGGTGACCAGGCATGCGTAGCAAGTGCCCGAGCCAACGCAACTTATTCAGTGCTATCTGTTGTTCTAGGGAGCTAGCATGACTATTACCACCAAGTAATCGCCTACTCAGATCGTCGTTGCGGACACGCTGGTGCCATCCGACTTCAGCAATGCTTCGCAGACAACGATGATCAAAGACTTGAAGGCGCCTCAGATCTTCAGACCGAAGGGGCCAAGTCTCACTACCATAGAGCAGAACGGCCCTCATTGTGGCCTTGTATACCCGGCCTTTCAGACGGAGGGAAATTCCCTTCTGTCGCAAAAGATGCTGCAGGTTCAAGAAGGCAGCTCTGGCCTTTGCAATGCGTGAGCTGATGTCAGCTTCTATGCGCCCATCGTTGCTGATGCAGCTGCCAAGGTAAGTGAATTGATCAACCACCTCGAGTTCCTCGTTAGCAAACGTCAAGGGGTTATAAGGTAGCTGGTGGTCCTGCAGAAACACTTTGCACTTTGAAGGTGCAATGTGCATACTGTCCGTGAGCAAGTAAGAATTGCCTAGGAAATCCACTATTTAGCGATTAATCGATTATCAACGATTATCGCATTGATTTCGAACGTTCCGGAATGTTCTAGTTTCTGCACGTGAGTAAAAATCACCTGACACCTCAACAAAAGATATGGGGAACTACTAACCTTGGTAGCTGATCTTCCAATTCTAGAAGTCGAAGGTCAGTAAGAGATCTATAAATAGAGCCAAGGTCCATGGTAGTCGTACAGTGTTTTTTGACGGCCATTAATACGTTATTTTGTCAAGGTCATTGGCGTTCTGCTTTTTCCTTCGGTTGGGCTAGAAGTTTTGTGGAGCAGTAAAGTGTCGATTTCGGAATCGCGTCTTGTGAGACGATCATAACACATACCAAATAATGGGACCACTCTAGACAGGCTCTTCAGAGTTGATTGTGCCACCGTAACATTGTTGAAAAGCAAGACGATATCGTCCGCGTAATCAAGATCAACTAATCTTTCACCAGACAGCACTTCAACGCATACATCGTGAGATTCCGCAAGGAAACACTCCGTGATAGAATCCATGACGAAAGTGAACAAAAACGGGGAAATCGGACAACCCTGACGAACGCCACTTGTGGTCGGAAAGCTATCCGATCTGCCACCGTAGACTCTGATACGGCCTGCATTGTTCGAGTATAGAGCACGAAGGATGTTCACGTATTTCGTGGGAACACCTTTCCGCGCAAGTATTTCGAACAGAATCGATCGATCGACTGAATCGAACGCACTCTTGAGATCGAGGAACACAGCTATTGTCGGTCTGCGGTGTGCGTGGCGCTGCTCTAGCATCTGCCGCAGAGTGAATATATACGGTCCGTACAACTTTATATTTAAAACACGCATCCTTCGAACAGAGCAACTTTCCTGCAACTACATCAATGCACAGGATCTTTTGAACAAGCTAGCCGAACTGCGGCTACGTCCAGTATCATACACCTGGACCCTCAGGTTCGTAACGGAAACCTGTTTGCATTCAGAAATTACTGACGACGAGATCGCACTACCGGCTATGCCCCTTTTCCAAAACCATCTCCTTGGTAAGGGCGTGTGTAATGTAATACTACTGTAGTAACCGACAGTGCGAACCGGTAGACGCCTATGATCATAAACTCACTCTGGTGCAGTCTGAAACTGAGACGCAACGACAATTGCTCTTCGGCAGTCGTTTATAGTCCCTCTCCCATATTCATCATAAAGATGGACACCCGGCTGACATTAACCTTGGGAATTGTCCTACGACGACGACACAATCATGTTCACATTACTGGAAACTTCAAAATTGACGATCTGAAATTTCCGACCTACCCCAGTGAGCAATTGAAGGCCGACATGCAAACGTGAATATTGCGAACATTCCGCTCCTCAGGCATGTCAGTTCGCCCATTTGATTCAGCACGGGAAATAAACCACCTGTACTTGATTTAGTGCTCATGAACGAAGAGCTCATGTTTGAGAAACCAAAGATGGAGGGCCCAGTTGTCCTAATGACCTTCCGCGAATCAAAAACTACGTCTGGGCCCCGATCACCATTACTTATTTTAGATAACCACAAGCTCATTTTATACTTCTCATCATTTAGAGCCTCTCACAAATTAGCTCATTTCAATCGGTCGATACACCGGTGGCAATTAGTTGAGTTCGCTTCTCACCAGTTCGGATCAATTATCCTCATGTCACAACTTGGGTATCGACGCGAGCAAGCAAAGGTCAGCCTTGGGTCATTGCTGCCCGCTGGACAGCTGCCGCCATACCACTGAGACGGAGTGACTACTTAACAAAAAGTTACGACTCCGTGTGTTATGAGGAATATCCACCAGAAAAGAGTGACTTGTCTCGAACATCACACACTACGACCGACTAACAAAGTGCGTTGGAGATGCCAGCTTGGATGGAGCTGACTGGCAACTCAATATCTTGGCGCATACTTGATGAATCTTTTGTGTAAAAAGCGAAACTTTATGTATTACCATAAATACATTAACCGGTCGTCTATCAAGTTTTCTGAAAAGTTGACTGGCAAGTTCAATGGTTGGATTAAACCTGTCTCGGTAAACAGGCCACTTCGTACTGCAAGAGCACACTCATTCATACGAAGCAGAACCCGAAGACACATGACAGTAAAAACCGCAATATGGCATGTGTATAGAGAGAACTCTAGCCCTGACAACTAGAGCAACTACCAAACGATTCGTAATTACTGTTCCACAATAGTCCGTGAGGACAAATTTGTACACTAGCAGAGCCAAGAGCAAAGGTTTTGTGCTAGCAACATACTTCTGTACAGAAATGTGAACAGCATACGGAATGTGAAATGTGGTGGTGCTCCACTAATATCAGCAGATGGATGCGCTCAAACCGTCGAGGATAAAGTCAACTTCCTACGGTTACAATACGCCCCAATTTTCCGACATGCTACCAGAATGTGTAACATACTTGACCCAATCTCCCAGACGCCAGTAGTTACACGCGTCACATGTAGTTCAGCGACCATTTCGAGGAATCTGCTATCGTTGTGAATGCATAATTCCCCCAGAGTTGACGACATTCTCCTGAAAGTATTGCAGGTGGTACCTAAGAGGATAGCTGACCCATTAACGAAATTTTTCCAAAGTTGCCTGGATAAACAGTTGATCCACAACATCTGGAAGCAGGGTATCATCACACCAATTTTCAAGAATGGTAGCCGTTTAGTGCTCACCAACTATCTAGTCGATCATAGCTGAGGCTCCAAAGAGCTACTTTGAAAGGTCACACATCATTGCATCGTCAGCATCTGTCATGTGTTACCAACCTACTAATTATCCGTGACAGTTGAACTGAGATAGCCGACAATGGGATCAGCACTGATGTCACCTAGCTAGACTTTCCTTAAGCCTTCGACCGCTTAGACCACAATGTCCTTCTCCAAAGGCTGCCAACATACGGAATCGGGAACCCTGTCCTAAGACGGATCGCAAATTGCTACCTTCCGCTGCCCTTCAGGTTTGAGTTCGAAGCTCACATTCTGATCCACTTAATGTGGACTGCGGTGTTCCACATTGGTCAGTATTAGGACTGCAGTTATTCTTGTTCTTCAGTAACCACCTCTTGCGTATCGTTGAGTTAAATTTCCTACTTTTTGCCGATGACATCAAGATTTGAAGGGGCGATGGGCTGTCAGAAAGATTATAATTTGCTGCAAAGAGACTTAGGCCGCGCTTGTGAATGATCAAAGGTAAATATACTTCCATTTGACGTGGACAAGTGTAGAACTGTGCATGTCCGCCACTGACTTAGTAACGCATACGAACTTGGAGACAAAATCTGGTAGACCGCCTCACAGGAATGTGACCCTAGGGGGGTGATGCAAGGTGACTTCGGCTGTTCGACATAGTCACTGAAGGTGTTCAAACTGGTCTCTTACGACAGGTCTACGGGAGGTTTGATCCTTCCACCTCCCCCAAATGCTCAATGTGTAGGTGAGGCCCTATGTAGATCATGCGATCTAAGCTTAGCTACCCTGCTTAGAACGCGATTTGGCCGTGTTGGTGACGGCACAGCGAAGGGCAACGAAAATTGTGCAGGGATTGCTCCACCAGCCATGCCGTCTGCGACTGAAAGCCCTAGGAGTGTGTGGCTGAAGATATCGCCGTCTACGGCCGGACGGTATCTTGGCGTTACAGATATTAAGAAACCCTGGTCACGTCTGCCGCTACCTCCTGACACTTAGCTGCACCATAGAATTGAGGGGGCATAATCTTAAACTGGACACACCATACAGTCGACTGAAGTACCAGTGTAATTGCAACCATGGGACGCTCTTTCGACTTTTGTCATTTCTGCGCCTATGCTACCAATTTTACAAAAACGAGTCGATGATACTTTACACCGTCTGCATTACATGATTTGACTTCTATTCATTGAGGGATGACAAAACGAAGACAAACATTCTGCTCACCAACCCCTGTGAATTCGGGGTAGACCGATGTATTGTTGTCTCAATGTGGACAACATGGTGAGTTCACAGATGCGTTTTACCCTTTTGTGACTTTTCCCTCACGTTTTTTCACATACACCATTCCACGGGACTTGTCAAGCTCTGGCTTTTTACACGTATTATAACATTGTTCCATTATTCCAAGTGGAAGGCATTTCTTCTTTATACCACATGTAAGAGAACAAGGAGATCAGCTGATTAATGATAGTCACGCCACCGTACCCGAACAGCTCTGGAGGAAGAAAAACTGGTCCGGCAGATTCGAAGTGTTTGGAGTTCCTGATCTCGTGGTAGACTTCTTTGCTGGGTGAATCCAGTGGGAGGAACCGTCGCTGACAGCTGGGTGTGCTGCGCGCACGGGTGGATGGCGGAGTTCAGTAAAACTTTGAATGTAATTGCTCCGTTCAGTAGTCTCAACGCTTCTGCTGGTTGATGATCGGAGACCCATCCGCTTCGCAGATAACCTCACTGACACGAGAATTCCTGTGACCAGTGTAGGGAGTGTGTTGCTAGAGAGGACAGTGGTCTCTATCTCCAAAGACGTTCAGATCACCAGATCTCACGATTCTTGCAAAAGTTTTGCCAGGATATCTCTGCAGCAGTCCAACAACTCCAGAGAGTGAGCATAAATCCAAGCCCTTAAGGGGCGTCGAGCCAGCTGTACGCCATAACGGCACTTCGTTGCCGTGCGACCACCACTAGTCGCACGCGGGATGAGTATACCGCGAGGACGCCCACCTCTACTCGGATCAGAACCCGCGCGGCAAGGATACGAGACAAGCTCGTTACCTCTAGGCTACCGGCCGATGAGCTAGGCTGCAGCTTGATTGTCCGGAAGTGAGCATTGCCTTCTGTATGCAAATCCAGTGTTGTTTTATATACTACAGTGGGTTTTTATGAGAATTGAGAATAGCCGGTGCTCTAGTGCCCAGTCTAATCGAAAGTCAACATGAATGCACTGCTTATCGGAAGAAACGTTGCGGATTATCACCTTCATGTCTCGTTGCGAGGAGAAGCTTCCTATTCAACTCGGACGAATGCTGGTTTCACGAACTAGAGTGTACACTGACTGACGAATATTTAGAAGAGGAATATCTGTGAATAAGAAGGATCGCACTGTTCAAACTAAACTCCATTGATTAGAATCAGCACATTCCAATTAAAGCGGCTAAGCCTAATGCCTGCATTATTATTGTGGGCACCAGGCAGTGCATATAAACATGGTTGGTGGTGTCCATTCTAGAGGTAAGCACTGATATTAATCGACTGAAGCAGTACATTGTTGCAAACTGCAAACCAATTAACAGATGGGATATCTTTTATATTATAGTCAAAATAAGAAAGTAAATTTTATGTGTCGTTGTATGGTCTTAAGTGTTTGGACATTGAGAATACGGAGTGTGCAAACCTAGATTAGCAGTTACATTGTTTACACGCATGCAAGAAACTGTGGCATCAAAAACTTAGTCAATCAAAATCCTTTATCTAGAGAAACCGATATTTTCCGATGCCGACTATTTTCGTCGCTTAACTGTGACTCACCCTGCGGTATGTTCGCACATATTGCACCCAGTAACGTAGGTAATTGCTCAAGAAGTCGATGGGATCCAGCGGTTGATATAAGATTAGCGAGCACAGACCATTATGCAGTGGATCCCCGAGCACCTTCTTGATGTAATCGCTTTCCACCCGAAGTAACTTAGATGCCGCTCCTTCGGTCATGGCAGTTTCAAAAGTGGGTGGAGTTGGGGTAAGAAGTCGATTTGTCCCGTGACGTTGATGCAACTCACGTGACCACGAATCGTGAAGTATTGGAGAAATCCTTACACTGGGCATCGTGTGTGCCCCCAGGAGAAATGGGTAACGAACACTGGGGGCAGAGCGAAGATGTCACTTCCTATCTGTCGATCCCGAATAGTCGATTCAATCGGCGAGATGGCCCACCGCACATCACCGGTTTCGGATTTGCCTGTCACTGTGGCCAGCCACAGGACGCTTGCGCCTACACAGGGACCATGGATGGCTTGCGCTGTATCACCCACAGCTCAAACCACACACCCAATATCCAGTGTAAACCCGAAGGAATAAGACCGGGAGGCATGTGGATGGGAGCCACGTTTCATCAACGGAGCCGGCCCACACTCATTCACAGGCAAACACAAGCACGCTGTATTTGGGGAATCAAGCGCACACAAGGCGGTGGTTGGACCGTAACCCGCTCCACACTGACTGCATGGAACCACTCTTCGAACCTAGCACGGCCACAAGGACTGTGCACCCCGTCCCCTCCAGCAACGACCAACTGTTTCCTGGAGCCAGTATGGACGAGGTAGTGGGTAATAGACAGGTAGGCAGCTTGTCAACATGCACATCAAGCGCAGCCACAGCGGGGATATCAAGCAACAACCAATCACTTGAGAGAGAGATACAAAGAAAATAAATCGAGTAATGTATGAGGAATCGGTGACATAAAGCTTAAGTTAATGCGCATATGAAATAAGTTGTCCACCGAAAATTCAGAGATAAATTCACGGGGTCAGAAGTATATTTTACGGAAATGCCACAAACACGAAAATGTTATTGAAATTAACTACAATTGTCTTAAGCGACATGTGCAAGTTTACAGAAGAGAGTACAGGTAGACATTTATATGGGAAAGAAAGGCATTAGGACAAAATTGAAAACCCACCACCTGAAATAAAGAGACTTAGCATGCAAGCACGCTGTTAGTAAAGCGAATGCAGCGTACCTACAAACGCTGCACCGGTTCTGCCTACGTTCTCTGCAGGACCCGTCGTCGCTTCGGTAGTGGTCCCGAGTGGCCTCGCTCATGGCTCACTAGGCCTGCCTGACTAAGGCACTCGCGACCGCATGTGCTACAGCACCGTGCACTCGATGTCGATGGAGTACAACCCATCTGCGCTTGCCGCTTCCGCACTTGTCGCCTCTCCTCTGCATGAGTGGGGTCTTTCTCCTGCACTTCGGCAACTGCCTTTGCGATAAGATCGCACCATGCACGCCGATCAACCGCCTTCGATCCCCATGATCTGCAATCAAGATTAGAACGTGAGAGGCTCACTTTGCTCGTGTCCTGGTAACGTAACTTTGGTTTCCCACATGCCGCTTCCCAATACTCAGCTGACCGTATAAGAGTTGTTTCGGTATCCGCGTTGAATCCATACGGCTCACATGACCGAACCACCTCAGGTGTCTCAGCAAAAGCATGCAGTCCACCGCACACATCCCACTTTGTCGCAACACTTCCGTGTCTGCAACTCTGTCGCCCCAACCGATGCGCAAATTCAGGCCCAAACACTGCTGATGGAGCCGCACGAGATATCGCACATCCCGCCGGTACATCGTCCACGTTTCACTGCCGTATAGAAGAACTGACAGAATCATGGATTTGCACACCATCAGCTTCGTGCCAATGGTGAGCTGATGGTCGTTCCACACTCGGTACTCAAGCTTCCCGAATGCCTTTGACACGCGGATACGCAGCTCACTGTGTATCTGCTGATCAACCGACATCACACTCCCAAGGTAGAAGAAGCGGGATGTGGTTACCAATACTTCAGCACCAATGCTGGTTTGCGGCAATATTGAAGATTGCACCTCCGGTGAAGGCTGAAAGAGACAGACAGTTTTGCTTGTGTTGATGGTGAGCCCGAATTTGGCCGCTGTCGAAGCCAGAGCACTAGTCATGTGCTGCAACTCATCCGCGCTGTGTGCAAACAACGCACAGTCGTCAGCAAACAGCAACATACGGATAGTTGTCTCACAGACTAGAGTTCTCGCACCGAAACGACGGATGTTCAGCAACCCACCATCAATACGGTGCTCCACACGAACACCGTAAGCACAAGCGGCATCAAAAGCACAAGACATCATTGCATGAAGATATATATTAAACAGGGCAGGAGCTAAGACACAGCCTTGATTCACACCAGAGACAACTGCAAAGTCATCCGAGGTCTCTCCACTCAGCTGCACCCTCGCTCGCATACCACTGTGCAGACATGCAATTAAACTTACAAACTTACGCGGGCAACCAAACTTACCCAACACCAGCCACAATGCCTCGCGGTTCATCGTATCAAATACATTGGTGAAATCAACAAAAGCGAGTACAAAGGCTGGTGTCGTTCTCTGCACTTCTCCTGCAACTGACGAGCCGCAAACACCATATCTATAGTGCTGCGACCCGAACGGAATCCACGCTGCTCTCCCGCAACGTTCGGTTCCACAACCTGACTGAAAAGACGGTTAAGCAGGATTCGGGCAACCACCTTGCCCACACAACTCAGCAAGTGGATGGCGCGATAATTCGTGCAACATTGCTTGCTACCTTTGCCCTTGTACAGTGGTAGCACAAGAGCATTCTTCAGCTCAGCAGACACCTCCTCCTCAATCCATACGCGTTGCACCAAGTGGTGCAGCGCAGTCACCAACGCGGGTCCGCCGTGTTTCAATACTTCAGGCGGGATCCCGTCAGCCCCGGCACACTTGCCGTTTCTCAGCTGAGCAAGTGCTCTCTGCGTCTCATCCAGTGTCGGCGTGTCCGCCAGACTCGTCTTCACATCGTGCTGCTTGAGGCCGTTCAATGTAGGCCAGTCAATCTCTGAACGATCGTTCAAGAGACAGTCAAAGTGTTTCCGCCAGATCTGCATTATGTCTGCAGTCTGTGTGCAGGTAGCGCCTGACCTACCATCGATCAGTGTCCTCAGCGGCTCCAATCTCGGTCCATACACCGCTTTCAAGGAGTCAAAGAATTCCTTGTGTTGGCGGCGTTCGGCGTAGCATTCCATCTGCTTCGCCTTCTCCGTCCACCATGCATTTCTAATGCGACGGAGCTCTCGGATCAGTCGCCGTCGAAGTTTGCGAAACTGACTACTCTTTCCCAAGCCACTGGCGTCTGCCACATGTGCAGTAAATGCTGCATTTTTCTCACAAACCAAAGCGCCAACCGTCGCATTGTTCTCATCAAACCAATCAGGCCGCTTACAGTTTGCGCGCCCAATGGTCTCCTCGGCAGCAGCTGTCACCTGGTCGCGAATGTGGTGCCACAGGTCGCCCACTGTGGCTATGCAGTCCACATCACATGGGCGTGCAGCCATCGCCTTCTCCAGCTCAGTACGTTTCGCCACAGTACCGAGGGAGAGAATGTTGAATTTACGCCGATTCACGGCGGGAGTGCAATACACGGATTTACGAAAATATATGTACAGTTTGGTCCGCACCAACTTGTGATCAGTGCAACACTCAGCTCCACGCAGTACAGGTGTCATGCGCACTTCACGCATATCACGCTGACGTATGATAACATAATCGAGCAGGTGAGCGTGACCACTCCGTGGGTGCGTCCAAGTTGCTATATCACTCGCACTCAGTGCAAACCGAGTGTTCGTGATCGTCAGGCCGTGAGTGGCACACAGTGAGAGCAGCCTGTCACCGTTCGCATTCGCTGAACCAATGCTATGCGGACCGATAACATCTGTCCACACCGACGCATCAAGCACAACGCGCGCGTTGAAATCACCCAGCAGAAATAGTCGGTCGCTCCTCTGCACAGACCGTATCACGGAGGATAGCTCAGTGTAAAATTGATCACGCGTGTCCTCAGGATAACACATGGTCGGACCGTATGTGCTTATAAAGGTGGCAAACTTACCTCTTCCGAGTCGTAGGCGAACAGTCATCAGTCGCGCGCTGATGCCTGTTGGTTCACCCACCAGCTGGCCATGGAGGCGATCGGATATTGCAAATCCGACCCCATGATCACGTGGTGCTGAGGTGGCGTTGCCCACCCAGTAGAATGTGTAGCCAGCACCTGCTTCATGCAACTTACCTTGCTCAGCTAGCCGAGTTTCACTGAGCGCCGCAATATCGATGTTGTAGCGAGCCAGTTCCATCGCGACCAGTGCAGTGCGTCGCTCGGGGCGCTCGCTGGAGTTCCGGTCCAGTAGTGTGCGCACGTTCCAGCACCCGATGCTGAGTGCTTTGCGCGCAGGCATACGATTGCATTGGTGGACAACCGCACGCGAGGTGGCCGTTGTGCTTCGGAGGTTTGCTTGAGGGACTCCACCCGGAGCCTTTGGCTCAATAGCCTGACCCACAAGACAGTGGGGAGCAGATCCAGCTCGGGAATGTTATTGCAGAGACAGACTGGGATCTGCTTGACGGTCGTCACAAGCAGCCTTGTAGGTACTGGAACGATTTAGACATATTTTGCGACAGTAGTAGGATACACCTGCGACCACGGCCAGACGCAGGTGGGTTTTGGTGGGTTTGCACCAATTTGACCAGGGGCTGCCTGGCTTGATGCGGGCAGTAGCAAACCATTGAACACCCGGAGGTGCCCTCCCACCGTCAGAAACAATGCGTGGCGCTCGTGGTCTACGCCAATCGAGCTGTGAGCTTATAACCCGTAGACCTGTTGTCTCCCATAGCGGGAGAGCTTACGGTGCGCTGAGGCTGCTGGTGGCTAGATCCTGACAGATGGTCTACCCACTGCTGCTACTGTTGTGCCATTGGCTCATGTCCTAGGCGCTTCCTCGTGGCGACCGCTGGGTGGGAGTTGGGTTTCGTCCTTCTCCCTGCTAAGATCCAGGACACCAACCCACATGAGTCAGTGAACTGACCATGTGCTGGACCCGCTGCCTTTCGGGTGTTCATTTAATCGAAGGCTTTGGCTGAGGACCCGAGTTGTTCTCCTGTCAGGTGTGGGCGCCCTGGCAGTATCCTAGTCCATCCTCTTCGGAGATTAGTAAGTGGTCGATGGCCCTCTTCCCGTAAAACCCAGCCATATATATATATATATTGAGCCATCCAAACAC